GTAGTAAGAGCATTTGTAAAAATAAAATTCTTGGAAAGGAGATGGTTTGGTTCTTGATCATTAGCGTATGTCCCAAAAATCTCTTTAGCGCTTGTAGTTGAATTTGACTTGGATAACGTAACGCATCTTGATTTGTTCCGTATTGTAGACAATGTATTCATTGTACAATAACATCCCCTGCAAAAGCAAAATAGAAAATCAATTTTATAAATTTGACTTTCTTTTAGGGAAGTTTGATTTTGTGAATGTGTTTTGAAACAAAACCAAAACCTTGGAGCTTGAATGATCAACTGGTTTGCCAAGTGGAACAATAACACCGTCTTCTAGTGTTTTAGCTTCTGATGGGTTTGGTGCTGTTTTCCCCACACCTTTTGTGCTGCAACCATCAACTTACAAATTAAGCTTTATATAGTAGAAAACCCGTAAAATCATTACTCATCGCGGTTTGGTATGTTATGGTAGCACTAGGCCAGACCTTTTTAGGACCGGTCCTGCGCAATGTAATAATATCCACAGCTGAGATAAAGAATGTGAAATAGAAATGAGATTATCTGCGTACCTTAGTTTTCCCGGGGGTAAATTATCTGCGTTATAGTCCGAATATAGAAGCTCGTTCATGTCTCCCAAAGCAACCTACAGAAGTTTTGATCATTAGGATACATAAAAGGCAGTTATGTTGAATGATGTAGAGGTCATGAGCAAGAAGAGAAGAAGCAAGTATATACCTCGCAGAGAAGCAGAACGCCGTCATTAGCACCGCTGTTAGCGTAGCAATAGTTTGCACTCTTGGAGAACATATCGGCAAAGTAAACCCCCTTTCCAAACATGTAACCAGTTACAGGCGCTTCAGGAGGAGCTATCCGAAGACCTGTTTGGTGTCTCATAGTAGTTCAGTTCACTTTGCAATGAAAAAACCCAAGGGGAGAAAAAAATGAAACACTAAGAGAAACCTGTTGTTACCTTGAGATAAGATACCGGCCCAGTTAGTGAGACGTGACCCATGCCAGAGTAGCATCCTGTTCTTCGAAGTCGAGAACTAGCAAGAGAAATCAAAGTTTTACAGTGTCAAAGTGAGAAATCAGAATAATTGAGTACGATGTGAACAAGCTTGAGATACCATAACATACCTGTTGGAATCGATCAGCTTCAACAGCTCTCGAAGCTCTAAATAGTTGAGCAATCTCAACTGTGTATCCCGAATGCGTCTTTGCATGAGTGTTCTCCATGTAATTGGCAACCTGATTTTGGTAGTAAGAAGTAGTCAGCACAAGGTTTAAAACACAGACATGTTTGAGATACTTAAGCATCAAAGATGTTTGTTCGAAGTTCGTAAAACAGAAAATATACCATAGAGAATTCCTCTGAATCAGATCCTACTGGTGTCAAACCACAGTTAAGTTGCTGGTAGTGATAATATAAAGGATCATCCTACAACCATTGCAAGCAATAATGTCATATTTTTAGAGAGCTATTTAACAAAGTGATTTGGTTCCCCAAACCGACATAGACTGGCTGACTTACCTGCAATCCCTTATCAACGGACAACAACTTTGTTGCGAGTTCGATTTCACCTAATGCTTCAACCTAAACATTAAATAGTGATGTGTTAAAAACTACACAAAACATGTAGCAACCAACCAATAATTTTCGGAAGGCCACAACTAGTCAAGTAGGAAACAGTAGAAAGAATTACCATTTCTATTTTCTGTTTCAACTTTTGAGGAGTGTCTATGACAAACTGACCTGTTACAACTCACATTCAGACGTTAGTGACTGTTTATTTATATAACATCATTTTTTATCTTAAATTTTAGCACAGATGTAAAATGCATATGAACTTACTCATCTTCTTGAAACCAAAATCATGAGGGATCACAGTATAGAACTCTCTACATCAATAATGATACAAAGTTAGACTAGCTCAAATCCAATTTCCTTGTGGGAAACTGTTATATATTCCATTAAATGCAACGCAAAGTTTAGCAATTAACCAGAAACATACCCGCTCAGTTCCTCAAGCCTCTTTCTATCAAACCGTTCTATCACTTCTGATATTCTCTTCAACACTTCATAACCCTAGACAGATTCAAGAGGAGCTATTATCATGATATCACAACAAAACATAAACATAATTTATGGAATTGAGACCAAACAGAACATTTACTATTTTTACCTTTGAAATTGTGGACTTGCTTAGCTTCCCGAGTGGCAATTTGTTAGCATTATATCCTTCAATTTCAAATTTCAAAAACATATAAGTAAGTAATATCGAAAAATCAGCTACAGAGTAAGCTAATGGAACATCGAGACTAGTGATAGTTTCGCCAACGGATGCTCTCACTTGAATGAAGTGATAAAAGTAAGACTAACAAACCTATTTCCATCATGTGTTGTGCCATCATGCTGACATTGCATACAAGAGAGATGAACTTGGCAACCTGAGGATCTAGTTTTGACTCCTCAGGTTTAAATTCAGACAATGGTTTGGGAATATCGTTGACCTGAGAACAAAAATTGTGAACTATGAGAAAGCTTGCTAAAAGAAATGATCTTTAAACTTGCAAATAAACAAAATGAGGAATATGCGCATACAAATATATCATTCCAACAGATACTTTTGAGCATGTCAGATCACAAACTGTTAAGAATAAAAATATAAAGACATCAGTTAGGAATCCGAAACACTCACAACCGAATCATTTTTCTCTTCGCCGTAGTCCATTTCAATCCATGTATATGCCTTGGGATGAGGGATAAACTCCCATCTGTCAGACCAAAAATTCCTTGTCTTGTCAAGGAACTTATTACCAAATATTTCTATTGCACGATCGCATGAGTCAAAAGGCCCATCTAATTTACTCTGTCCTTTCACACCAACTCTTCCCCATCTGAAGTAAACCATATATGTTTTATGGTTATCGGATTCTGCACATAGATAACACAGATTCATGATATTGGAATTATGAACCAAAAATGACAAGGGGATATCAAAAGCATTAACCGCTTCGAGGGTTTCTTCAAGAACACAACAAGTGTAATTTTATCATAGAAATGAAGGAAACTAATCATAATCTGACCAGGACTGACCTAGCACTTGTAGGACAAAGAACTTGTTATTATTATCCCTGACATTTGTCTGATTTAACATAGCATCATAAACATCATCACCCTACAACATTCAACACATATCTCAAATCAATCCCAGTTTCTACCACATTCAAGAACACAAAAAGATGTAAACTCGGATTTAAGTACCCTTTGTAGAACATGGTACTGACTCTTTATATGATCAGGAATCCATTGATCCAGTACCGCTGCTCCCTTCTTTGTCGCTGTTACGATTTTCTCTTCTTTCTTTTCTTCTACAAAGCCAACAACATCATCTTCAGCTCCATTTGTCCCTGAAACACACAGATTTAGACACAATGGCTACCAAAATTTCCCAAAAACTCAAAGAAGAAACAACCTATTACCGGATTTCGCTGGTACATTGGAATCGTTATTTACGACATTGCAGAGCCTCTCGAGAAGTTCCTTTTTGGTTCCTGATGTAACTAAGCCTCTCTTGGTAGCTTCTTCTCGTAACTCCTTCACACTCATCCCACGAAACTCGCCAATTGCAATCAATTTGTTTGACTCATCAGTATCATCTGAAGAATCTCGGTTTCTTTTCATCTTGTTCTTCGATTCGTCCTTCTTCTCGGCTTCTGCAATAGCCTCTTCTAGCCTCTCCACCTGCGAAATCCCGTCGAAACACCGCAGTCAAATCCGAATATAACCGAATCGAGAAGAGATTCAATGCAAAATCGACTTAGAGATTGAGAGAGAGAGGCGAAATACCAGAACGGCTTTGAGTCCGGTGGTATCAAGTCCACGCTCGGCGAGTTTTGCACGGAGCTCGTCGACTTTGAGTTTGTTCGCCATTTTCGACC